TCTCAAAAAACCAAAAAAAAAAAAAAAAAAATTTTTTTTTTTAAGGCAGGGTCTTGCTAAGTTGCTCAGGTTTGGTTTGAACTTGATCTTTTTGATTTGTAACCCAAGCATTGTAGGAGGCTAAGTATGTCCCACCATCCCTAGCCCCAAGAATTTTTTTTTTTTAACAGATGAATTTTTGCTGTTGATTTGATGACAAATCACTAACTTCAAACACCAAGTAAATGACATATTACCTCCCCCAAATAATTCCATTGTGCTTATTAGTGAATCCGTTTTGTAAAACATGGTACTTAATTTTAATTTGTAAAACCATATGTGGTGACTTTTTCTTATGTAAACATATTTAACTTTGAAAAGTAGAATAGTTTGAGCCTTGGGTGATAGGAATATCAGAGTGGAAGTATTTGTGGCTTTACCAAAGCTATTGAACTGGCTCTGGCACCTGAATGGTGGCTTCTGCTCAGGTATACTTGCAGTCAGTCCTTAACCTGTCCCTAAATTGCATACTTCCTGCATTTCAAGTTTTACACAGCTTATATTATGAATTATTTCTCTCATGCAGAGAAATGAGAGACAAGATATATTTTGACTTTTATAAAGTTCTCCATTAAGCCCCTTTAACACTCACTTATTCCTTTTGGCTTTTTCTCTGCTGTTTTTAAAATTTGGAGTATACATTGCAGTTGCTTTCATGTGTGGCTTTCACAAATTTGTAATCACAAAGATAGTTAAAATATGTAAATTCAGCATCTTAAACCAGATTTACTATGCATATAGTCTTGCAGTTACAACACTGAATAAAATTTTAATTTATTAATATTTAAGGTTAGTTGTGTTTTATGTCTGTTTCATATAACTGGAAGATACTGGTTTTAAAAGTGTCATAGATTTAAAAAATAGTTTGGGCTAGAAATTGGAAAGCATTTTGGGCTATAACTAGTTGATTAGATTTTATTAGCACCTGTCTGTAGTACGTAATAATTATATTCATCGGGAGTTGATACCTATACATGACATAAATGATTAGCTTTTATATACATAATCTTGTCTATTAAATAATATTTTTGTTGCACCTATTTTCCAGAAAATGTCAGTTTACTATTCAAATTATACTGCTTGACAGTAATGACTCTGGTGGCTGCAGCTTATACCATATCTTTAAGATACACAAGGACAACAGACAAAGAACTCTACTTTTCAACCACAGCTGTGTGTATCACAGAAGTTATAAAGTTATTGCTAAGTGTGGGACTTTTAGCTAAGTAAGTATAAATGCTTTAGTGTATTATTTTTCCCTTAAGGTATTTTTTTAGTAAATTCAAGCTATATCTTTTTACGTTTGATTGCTCTAGAACAGTGTTTCCTAACAAGGGGTGATTTGCTCCCTAGGAGATATTTTTGGTAGTGATAACTTGGGGGTGTAGTATGACATCTAATGAGTAGAGAGGCCAGAGGCTGCTAAACATCTGGTAATGTCCAGTACAACCCTCTGCAACAGTTCCATCCAGCTCTATTTGTCAGTAATGCTGGGGTTGAAGAGACCTGCTCTCTTCCAGCAAGAGTTGTCAAACCTTAGCCCATGGGCCAACTGCCTATTTTGCTTGCTGTAGACAATATATAGTTCACAGAGCCTAAAATATTTACTGTTTGACTCTTACAAAAGATTGCTGACATGTTTTAGAGGAATATGATGTTAACAAACCTTTATTGTTCCCTGTGTTAAGTGCTAGCTAGTGCTTTTCACGAATTTTCTCATTTAATCTTTGCAGTTTTGAGGTAAGTACTAAAATTATCCCTATTCAATACAGCAAATGAGATGCTTCAAGATTATGGTATTATGTGGTGATGCTGGGCATTGAGTCAGTAACATCAAATAAGAATCACTTTAGCCAAAGATGCAGGGAAACAGTTGGGTAATCATAGGGATACTGCAGTTAGATAGACCTACACTTATTCCTAGTCTCTGTGGGATTATGGCTTCATACACATTTCCTAAACTTTTAAAAATTTTAAGTAAATGACTTGAAAGATTTACGAAATAGGGACCTAGGTGAGAATTCATACAGATTTCAGTATGTGTTGACAAGAGCAGGTAAGTAGTATGGAATAGTATGTGTAAAGGCTCTTAGGTGGAAACAGACAAATTACGTTTAAAGAATTTGAAACTTCAGAAACTCATTATTGAGTAGTTTCTACAAGACAATTTTTATACTGGATGCTGGTATACAGGTATGAATGGAATAGGGTCTCTATCTTCTTCAAACAGATTGTTTAAAAGAGACAGAAAATAAACCAGTAAGCACACACGATTTCACATGATCCTGTGAAAAAATGATTTAAGGAGAGAGAAAAGAACAGAAAAACAACTTGATACTAGATAGTAGATGACTTCGATATAAGTAAGAGATACTGGAGCAGCCTAACAGGCCAGGTTAGTTAGTAAAACTCGACCTTCCATGTAACAAAATTCATTTTTCTGGAAGTTTGCCTTTTAATTACTAAGTTTTTCTTTCTGGATTATGTGAGATAAATGTGAATCTTCTTGTACCTTTATAAGATAATGTTTCAAAGACAACAGTCTAAAATTCCAGAACAACTTCTATGTAACAACTTAGGTATTAACAAATTTAGTATTAAGGCTTAGTGTCTTTTAAGAAAAACAACTTCAAAAGGGATAAAAATACTGTTAATTCAGGAATTACACAGAACTGTTACTGCATGATATTGGCTATTTTAAATTATAAGCACAAACATGGGCAGGGATTTAAATCAGTGACACTGCGCCTGCCTTGCAAGCACAAGATCCAGAGTTCCATCCCCAGTACTACAAAAAAAGAGCAAATCATGGTTCAGTTTGTTTTGCAACTGTGAAGAATTTGTGGAAATCACTATGAAAAAAACAAACAGCAAAAAAAGCACTAAAGTCCAAGGTATAAGTAGTTGGGCCTGTTTTCCACCAGCTCACCTGCATAGACCTTTTCTTTTATTGCTTGGTGTACAGTGTTTCTTGCTGTTCATTTGTTCAGTGTTACAGATACAGTTAGTTGTTTTGTGGAAACTTTTTTGGAAATTATGTCAAAATACAAACAAAAAATTTTGAAAATTTATCAGGCTAGTCAAATGACGGTGCTGAAATAACAGCACTGGAAAAAGCAATAGTTGCTGTGTCTGTCATCAATATAAAATATAGGCTACAGTCTTGCACACAAAAAGTAGGAACAATCAGAAAAAGCCAGAAACGAAAACTGACTCATACTGTTGAATTTGTATATATTTGATAATTCTAACCCATTGATGTTAAAATAATTTTCTAGAACTAAAAAGTGGATTTAGATTTTTTTTTTTTGTGTTCAAAGCAGAAGCAGTATTTTATCATCTGAGAAAAAGTATGAAAATTTCAGGATATTACGGGAGAATCTGGAGCAATTATATTGGAAATAACTAAAGCTTTAGAGCTACTATTTAAATGGAAAACTCTTCTTTCCTTTAACCTGCATGATAAACCACGGTAACCTTATAGAGTTACAAATATTATCCAGGAAGTTCAATTTATCTGCCCTATGCAACGTTTACTCTCATTTTAGACTGTTAGTGTGGCCACTTATTTAGTACAGTACAGTGATGTTCTTTGTTCAGTAATACATGTAGTCTCAGCTAATTGTTAAAGTAATTATATGTTATATGAGGTGAAAAACAGACTCATTGAGGTGGCACCAGAAATTCTCAGTATCTTATTAATTTAGAGAAACATCACTGCCACGTTCAAATAATCAGGGCTTTACTCCCTGTGAACCTTTGAAGCTTGCTGACCTACTAAGGCAGGTTCAAGATACTGTTATATCAAGGAGTTACTAGTATATACTGGTTGATACTTACAGTTAGGATCCCCCCTTCCTGAGAAAGATCTAACCTTCCCCTCACTCACAAGTGTTCCCTTCTTAGTAGTTTTTACTCATTTGAAGTAACAGGTCATTTTTGTTTCTATCTATGCTTAATCTAGAATTCTTCCATTTTTGTTGATTTTACTTGTAATTTTTAGAATATGAAAGTGTTATTTTAATCAGAGGTTATAACTGCAAAATAGAGGGAGGAATTAATGAACTTAATTACTTTGATAAATAAGGTTGAGGTCTAACTAGTGAATTTTAGTTATGTGTAAGATTGCTGGGCACTATGTAAAAAACACTATACTCCATTTCATTGTTTTTATACTTAGTTTATCTTTGTTTTTTAACACTTAAGTATTTCAAGATAGTATATTAGACATTCTCTCTTTCTAAAAATTGTATGGTACCCCCTTATGCAGACATAGCCTGAGTGCCACTAGGTTGATGGACACCTGGTTTATTTTCAGTCTCCTACTACAAAACAGTAATCATCCTGTACACACCTGTTGTGCACCTGTGTTATTGTATAAGATCACTTTTAAATGGAAAAATGAGTGAATTCTACTTTTGAAGAGGGGAGAAAATTAGAAGTGATATTACAAAATCTCTGTATATAAATAAAGAACTTTTAAACAATACTTAAATATTCCCAGTTTCTAAGCTATATTTTGAAATATAAACATTTAAAAATATTTTTCATAAAGTTAATTACTACTACAATTCACAGGAAAATTAAGCCCCATGACACCTATTGGCAGTGCAGATTAAAATACACCACTGGTGGTAATAAGGAAAAGGAAGTGAAAACCTTCACAATGCCTCAGAACAAAGTCAACATTTTACTATTTGCTGTTACCACAGTATGAAGACTAAATAATTGTAGCAGGATGTGGATATGTTAATGTACATACACTTTGGGTGTGTTTTAGTAGTAAAACATATGTATTATATCTTAGGCTCTCATCCATTATGGATAAGTAGCTCATTTTACTATTTCATTGTATCTAATACCTAATATAGCTACATGTTACAGATTTTCCAGCCCTGTTTAGCTCTCCTGCTGGCTTCACATTTTTGCTGCATATACCCATGCTATAATGTTCTGGGTCTTGGCGGGGGGGAAGTCAAAATCATTTACTTCCTATGAAATAATCATTTACTTCTCAATTTGATCTATTTTTTTTAAATATCTGGCCCCTCAAAGACTCATGTGTGTTAATTATACTGAACTTTGCAGATAAAAATTTTGCTAAAAAATTTTAAATTTCTTAAGCTCATGATTAACTTCTGCTGTGTTCCATTTTGCACAGTGCCTTGGTAGCCTAACCAAGGATTTTATGCCTCCTAGTAGTTCACATCAGAACAGAAGCTGGAAGAATGAGGCCTACTTTTGACCAAACATAGGTCAGAAAGAACTGGTTTCAGCCGGTTGATAGGAAATTTAGGGAGGAAGGCAGCAGTGGAATCTCTCTGCAATCAACATGGAGCTTGAGGAGTTCTTCAGGTAACCAAGGTTGCACACAGATTCTATGCCAATGATAAAAATCAGACTGTTCAAATAAGAAATTTAATAGGAAAAAGGACTACATCTAAAAAGCTCTTATTGTACATGCTCTCTCATTTTGCATACTTAAATTAATAAATTTGTTCTTATCAAAAGGTACTCATTAAAGTGCTTAATTTGACTTTTTTTTAATTGAGTTTATTAGTACATTGTTAGGTATACAGTATAGTTACATTCATTATTGGGATCTTGTACCTTTACATGACAGGTCTTGGTTCTCATTTTTTCCCGTTGTCCCTGCCCTCTCTTCACTCCCTCCTCCCCTCCCCATTTACAAACACTTTATTTCCATTTTTTCATATTTTTTCTTTTGACGCTTAAGAAAACAGTCAGATTGATCATTTATTTTTGTATTAGAAAAAGCACAATATATTAGTATTTTCTGGAAAATATACTGCTGTTATTTTTTAAAATAACTTTAGTAAGTAAAGCTAAATACAAGCCTTAAGAACTATATTCTTAATAAGTTAAGTGGGATGAATCTGATTAACACTTAATTTTACCCTTTTATTTTTTTGCAATATCAGGGATCGAACTCAGGACTTTGCACTTGTGAAGGAGGCGCAGCGCCACTGAGCTATATCCCTAGCCCCCAAAACCCTTTTAAACTTTACAGGTTAAGATTTCCATTTATTCCCATGCCTCATAAATCTGCTGCCTACTTTATGATTTTTTTTTGGTTATTTTCTCTTAGCTTCTATAACTTATTTCAGTATCTTACACTATATACACTTTTATAATTCTAAGATACTAAAGAGGAATTTGAGCTTTCCAATAGTATTTTCTTATTCTTTTATTTCTTTAATACTTACATCAGAGAGGAAAACAGAAAGATACCTAGACCTTTTCTAGCACTGAAAAAATAGCTTTTAAGCATCCAACAAATGGGATCTGGCCCAAAGAGATGAAAACACAAAGGTTAGTCTTGACACACTGTACTGTACTAGTTTGCCACACCGAAGGAACAGATTTCTGACTGGCTGCTTAATTTGCTTCATAAGATTTCATTTTATGTGAAAGCTGAAAAAGTGGAAGAGCTAAGAAAAGTGAAAGGGAGAAAACGGACCACAATTACCTTGATTATTGGTGCAGGGGTGGTGATTACTCAAGTACCAATTGTATCCTTTAGCCCAGTTTGAAGGTCAACTGGCCAATTCTCTGAATAGTGATGAAAGTCACTACTATCTATGAAGACTTATTTCTAATGAGTAGAGGTAAAATAGCATTGCCCATAACTGAGGATTAGGGAAATGATGGTAGCATTTATGCCTTTGAAGGTTTAGCTTGAAGAACCTCTTGTGAGAGATAAATGGATATAAGAAATAAAGTGTGAGGATTGGGGGGGTATCAAATAGTACCCCTTTAGGGTGGCACTCAGATGCTTTAGTATAGAAGTCAACACTTTAGAAGGGCATTAAAAGTAATAGTAAAGTGGAAGTAGTTAATATTCTGTATTGTAATATCTTATCTTGTGATACTAATAATTATGATAAATGTCCAGTTACATTTTTTTGGGGGGTACCAGGGATCAAACTCGGGACCTTGCGCTTGCAAGGCAAGCAGTGGTCACTGAGCTAAATCCCAGGCCCCAGTTATATCTTTTAATACATCACCTTTTGAGATGGTTTCTTGGACTGGATTGCTGTGGTGATTCTTTTCTAATCTTTTATAAGAAAACATGCTAAAAATTATTCTTTATACTGTGCTTAAGATGTCAGGAAAGCATACAGGACATCTTAGTTTTATATTAAACAGCAGCTAAGGGCTGAGTGGTAGAGTACTGCGAAAGGCTCTGGGTTTTATCCTTAGCATCACAAACAGCTGAGTGTTTAAAGGATAATCTTCAGACACCTAGAAAACTATTATGTAGATTTTTCAGTAGAGTGTAATTCTTTTGGTATCTTTTTTATGATCTAGTAGTTTGTAGTCTACCACCAGTCTGTGTATATTACTTTTACAGATTTAACATTATGGTACAGTGTGTGTTGAACTTGGCAATAGAAAAAGGTCTATAACTATGAAGGATGTCTTTTGTTTGTATGGCCTTGGCCAAATTTCCTGTCTAAATTATTTTCTTGAATTGAGGTTTAGAAAATGAATTCCTAGACACAGGTAATCAGTTTGATATAATGGACTTTAACTCCACCTCAGAACTTAATTACTTTTATCATAAAATACAGCTACTTTACTAATGAAGATTATGGTTCTTACAAGGGTATAGTGAGTTGCATTTAGGACTAATCTGAGAAAGCACTTTTGGGGGGTATTGATATTTAATATAAAAGCTTTATTTTTATTTTCAGGAACTAAATGAGCTTATTTATAGTAGGGGAAATGCAAGCCAGAGTAGCCAGTCCTCCTGAGCAAAAACAATTCAGAGTAGTTAAGAGCATGCACAATTGGTATGCAGTCAAGTAATAAGCTTTTTGTACCTTACAGATAACATTCGGGTTTCCCATAAAATTATATAGATTCGGCTTAAATTTTGAGACTGTGGTTATTAATTATCTACTATATTTCCTTATCTTTGATTCATTCATATACTGACCTGAATCATTTGATTCCTAATTCATATAACTTCATGACTAAGAATTAAGCTGTTTTCTTTTGTTTGCACTTTAAATGTATTGTAATGTAATGTGGAAAAAATATTTTTAAATGTGGCTCGAGCCACATTTAAAAATATTCAGATTAGGGCTGGGGATTTAGCTCAGTGGTTCTGCTGCCTGCCTTGCAAGCAAGCACAGGGTCCAGAGTTCGATCCCCGGTACCTTAAAAAAAAAAAATCAGATTGAACTTGATGTAGTATGGGTAAAGTGGCAAAAGATTAATTTTTTGTTTTCTCATGTTTCAATATTTAATATACGCAAAAGCTTCTGAAGCTTTTTTCTTGGTACCGGGGATTGAACTCAGATCCTTGCACTTGCAAGGCAGGCCACCACACTGCTGAGCTAAATCCCCGGCCCCCAAAAGTTTCTGAAGCTTTAACCAGAAGTAGCAAACCTAGTTAATGTCAGATTTTTCTGAATCTTAATTTTTTAGCAATGAAAATGTTTCTTTTAATCTAAAATGAGTTGGAAATTATTTTAGAAATTGTCTTGAACTATATTGGATGGTTACTCTGTATGTAAAGGAATTTTATTAAAATAATCTCTTTAATTTTCTGCTTTACCACCTTCCCATTTCCCCGTTTTGTTTCCAAAGAGAAACTGGTAGCCTGGGTAGATTCAAGGCATCTATAAGTGAAAATGTCTTGGGGAGCCCCAAGGAACTGATGAAGTTAAGTGTGCCTTCGTTAGTGTATGCTGTTCAGAACAACATGGCTTTCTTAGCTCTTAGCAATCTGGATGCAGCAGTGTACCAGGTAAGAAATGATAATGAAAAGCCCTAAAATGTTGAAACATTTTAATTGTAGAAAGATTTCTGCTAATTCTACATTATCAAATAATTTTCTCAATATTAATATCAAATATTAATCTGTCAGAATAATATTAGCCAAATTTATTAATTCATTAATTTGTTGCTAGGTGACCTACCAATTGAAGATTCCCTGTACTGCTTTATGTACTGTTTTAATGTTAAACCGGACACTCAGCAAATTACAATGGATTTCAGTTTTTATGCTATGTGGTGGAGTCACACTTGTACAATGGAAACCAGCTCAAGCTACAAAAGTTGTGGTAAGAAAATACATACCATAACTAAAGCAGGAAACTTCTATCTTACTTTGGTCTTGTATACATCAGTCACATTGATGAATACAGCATGACCATAGTTCTTTGATTTAAAGTAAATTTTGCCTGTTAGAGGTTTTTCTTTAGTTGTGCTATTAAGGATAGTAATATATACTAGTTTTCTATTTCTTGAAGGAATATATTAAAATATATTAGAAATAGTGCCTTAAACATGTTTTCCACACCTTGTTTTACCAGTGACAAAACTGAAATCCACAAAGAGATGCAGTGACTTGTCCAAAGATAATCATTAAATTGTGACTAAAACTGTCGACTCTAAGTAGTGCAGATGTAGATTTCTACACTTTTAAAAATATCTCAGAAACATGACACAAGGTTTTCTTCATTTGGTTTTCATTCTTTCTCCTTACTTAATGACAGGAGTGGTGTTCTCAGCATTAAAAATGAAAATAGGGCAAAAAAGAAATGCCCTTTAAAGTTTTCAAGAGTGATGGTACATACCTGTTTTTTTTTGTTTTTGTTTTGTTTTTGGTACCGGGAATTGAACTTGAGCCCTTGCACTTGTGAGGCAGGGGGTGGAACCACTGAGCCAAATCCCCAGCCCGCTGGTTGTTAATTTTTATTTTTTGGTACCAGTGATTGAACTCCAGACCTTGCGCTTGTAGGACAGGCATGTTGCCACTGAGCTAAATTCCTGGCCCCTGCTGGTTGTTTTTTGTTTTTTTTTTTGTAGATACTCTGTGCCTCAATTATTTATAGGAAATAAACCTCTGGTGAATGACTTTCTGAAGGTCAAGTGTTTCTCTCTACAATCAAATATGTATACTTTTCAACTTTCAGCAGAAAGACTGTAGTTCTCTTATGATAGGCAGTTGGGAATGGACAGATTATAAAAATGGCAAGTCTGTTCTTTTTAAATACTCTTCAGCTTGTCTGAAGAGAAATGGCTGTTTCCAGAAAATAAGTTTTAGATTAATACTTATTACCTTCATATGCTGTGGAAGTGTGTTCATATTCCATTTCAAAACATTTATTGGATATGTACCATTTAACTCAGAACTTCAAAAAAATAATTTCTCTGGGAAGTCAAATATTTAAATGTTAAATGTGAGCTTTAAGCAACATCTTACTATCAGAATAACTATTAGGTCCTCCTCACATGTATTTATAAAAAGCTCCTAGCTGAGGTGGATTAGAGGGCAGCTTATCCTCCTTAGACCACTCAGGATTCTTTCCTATTTTGAGCAGGATGTAGATTCATGGAACTATTTCTCATTGTTCTTGTCAGAATAATTTAAATCCCTGCTACATTCATATGATGATCTTGTGAATGCTTGAACATCGTATCCCATTCTCCACGTGCCCCTTCTCTCCCATGTACACAGCCGTTCTTTCTAGATACACTGATTGGTCTGTCCTTGTTCCTTATTGTCCTGAAACTTTATACTACCTCCAGATGTTGCCTGAGTAATGTGAGAGATAGATTGATAATTATCCCCCCCACCTTGTTCTGAATCAGCGTAAGATTTTTCTGGGTAGAGCAGGATGTCTACTTCAGAACTGATTATACGTAACTGTATGTAGCCGTGTCACAAAAATTTGTCAGATGCCTCTTATAGCAGACCAATTCTAAACCAAAATGCAGGATGTGTTTGTATTCAGGAAGCTCATTGTGTTAGCTGTTAGCCCCTTGAGTCCTTTCCAGTTCTTAACCTATTATTAGCTTTCCTTTGAGTAGTATGCTTTCTAGAGTGAGCAAGGATGTGTCCTTTTAGTCTTCAGTGAAAATTTTAGAACAGGACCAGCATTCCTTAGTTCTATGCCTGAGGTTGCCTTAGGTAGGTGGTTTTGGCTTGGATCTCTTACAAGGTTGTAGTAAAACCCGTTTAAGGCTGCAGTCAGCTATGAAGTCTTGACTAGGGCTGGGAGATCTGTTTCTATGTGGGCTCATTGAACTCCTGACAAGTTGGCAGTGGTTGCTTATCTAGCTTGATTTGACCCTGTTAGCATTTTTTCTGTATGAACATTCATTGTAGTAGTATCCTTATTACTGTGTTGTCTGCAAAGGCAAATCTGTCAAATTTCTTGCCAAACATTGCCTTTTTTGGAATTCTTCTAATCATTTAACTCTAGGAATCCTTTCAGTAAAGAAATCTGGTATATTTGACTTAGGGAAACCACACTGTTTTACATTGGTGACCAGAAGTTCTTTAACTCATCTGTATTCTTTTAAGTATGTTTATATTTAAAAATTACCATTCACCGATAAAATAGAAACTAGATTTGGGTAATTCTATTTTCTTGCCATCTCACAGTACATTATCTAGCTCAAGAAACTCTTTCTCCCTGAATAAACATACTTTAAAAGCATTCCTTATTTAATGTTTTATGTTTTTTTTCCCTTTATAAACCTCTGTTTATTCTGAGGTTTTAATTCTTTAATATTACTTTTTAAATTTCTGGTTATATTTCTCTTGGTGATTTGCAGTTCATTGAAGAAACCATAATTAGTCATGTTGATTTCTTTGTGTCCTTTAACTCTTTACCAGAACCTCATTCTTTAGAACCTCTTAATCCCCCTTGAACTATTTTCCCACTAGTCATAGTATTCTACCTGAAAATTTTATCTTCTGGATTTTGATTTATACAGGATTGGGGCAATGTCCCTTAACTGTGCTATATTTGACAGCTATTCATGCTAAGATGACACAGTTGCTTTCTTGGTCTAAAGTATTCATCATATTCACTTCATCACCTATCAGTTTCTTACCAGTGTTAAGGTCCAGAGAAGCAGTTTCCATCACTGTTTCCTGACTGTACAGATTAAACTGTTAATAAAGCAAATCAAGAATTTAATAGATACTACTTAAAACAGGTTGCTGGGCTCATCCTTGGGATGGGGCCTGACAATTTCCATTTGTAATAAATTTCTAGGTGATGCTGCTGCAGCTGGTCCAGGGCCCACACTTTGAGAACCACTGGTCTACAATGTCTTCTGTTTCTCCTTTAATCTTCATACAAACATTTTAGACCAAGCTTTCTCTCTCAGGTACTTATTCTTCTTACATTAGGCTTATTTATTTTGAACAAGATATATTCTTCCTTGTAATATCACAGTTGAGTCTCAACCCTCTAATTTCAGCAATACTGTTGAGATAGTATTTATCTGAAGGAAAAGAGATGGTTATGAAGGAAAAGAAAATGAAGTTGGAACAGTAGGTTGGGACCCCCATCACATGCATTTCTGGGCATGTCTCCCAGTATTATGATTATATATTCTTGTCAGTCTCACGTATACATGAAACTATAAAAGAGCCAGAGTTTTGTGAGCTGTGTACTGTCCTCTTTACTCAGTTTATAGCCATGATTCTGGTACACAGAAGGTACACTATAAGTATCTGATGAAAATTCAGTAAGGTAGAGAGTCTAAAGAATCAGCCTTCCATACTGTAGGTGATAAAGAATATGTAAGTTAAATTGTTCCCAGTTTCATGACAACACTATAAGGGACTAGAGTGGTGGCAAAAATCAAACTTAAGAAGCAGCCCAAATATGGAAAACTATGCTAGAGTGCTTACTGGTAATAGGAAATAGGTGTATTATGGCTATCATATGTCTGACGACACATTTTTAACTTAAGTGCTCTGGTTAATTTCTGGGATGGACTTTTTATTTGGTCCTGTCTCATTCCACAGAACAGCTGTGTCTGATATAAAGTATATTTTTAGTAGAAAACAATAACACAGCTGTTGAATGAATTCTATTTGCTAGTCACTAAAAAAAATTTTAAAATTACTCTTATAGGTGGAACAGAATCCATTATTGGGTTTTGGTGCTATAGCTATTGCTGTATTGTGCTCAGGATTTGCAGGTAAGCCATGAAAAACATAATTTTACTTGTTTTACTCTTTAAAAACATACTTTAAATATGTAGCTAGTTTATCTTGCTCTAGCATAACAATTTTATTCCTAATAATCCTTTTATCTTCTTAGTCATCTGTATCTCAAATATGGCCTTGTTTGACTCAGTTCAGACCTCAGTGCTTACTCAGACTTGCGGTTATCTTAAGATTATACACTTGACATTCTTGACCATCTCAGTCTAGTCTAGTAAAGAACTCAACCAATGGGGAAAAAAATGACTCTAAAAATAGAGGAAATTAGGCTTCAGAAAACTCAACTAGCTATTTTTCTAGAACTGGCAATAATCAAACCAGCTCCTGCTGCTGCAGGTTGCTAACATTACAGCTCAAAAACCACAAGTTCTCTACTTTAACAGAGTGGGATCTATAGAATATGAAGAGCAGGTGGAACATTCCTTAGAATAAGTACAAAACAGCTGAAGGGGAGAAAAAGAACGTAAAATCACATGAAGAAAACAAGGAAGTCTGGGATCATTATGAGTAGGGACAACTACTTCTCCAACAAATCAAAAAAGTATGAATGCTAAATGCAATGTAAGAAATGAAAGATGTTTTAGAAATAGTTCCAACAAAGATGAAATTTAAAGTTCTTTTTAGGAAAGACTATTAGTAAATAGCTATTTGTCTTTATCCTAGTACTTATTTTAAGCATTTAGGATTTTTTTTTTTTTTTTTTTTTTTTTTTTTTTTTTTTTTTTTTTTTTTTTTTTTTTTTTTTTTTTTTTTTTTTTTTTTTGAGACAGGGTCTCACTATGTAGTTAAGACTGACCTGGAACTCACTATGTACTCCAGGCTGGTCTTGAACTCAGTGATCCTTGTGCCTCAGCCTCCCCATTGTTGAGATTACAGGTGTGTGCCACCATGCCTGGCAGCATTAGGATTTTTATTTTTTGATTAGAAATAAACTTGCTTGTAAATAAGATGTTTTACAAGATGAGAAATTCTAAATTTAGGAATATACTTAATCAACCATAGTGTCCTATATCTTTACTCTTAGGATCCAACAAATTCGTAATTTGAGTCACCTAAGAGATAATGTAGTTTGATTTGTAGCAATAATTTTGAACAGTATGTCCAACACTGTATGTAGAACACAACTGAGAAAATGGAGGGTAGATTATGCTTAAGAGTAACTAAGCACTGAATAAATGATTTTCCCAGACATAAAATCAAAGGTAGAAGAACCACCATTTTGCTTTCATTCTGCAGCTCTTTCCAGTATAAATTCATTAAAAACATGGTTTTTAAATTAGATTTTTACATTGATAAATGTGTTAGTATCATTTCTCAAGTCTCTAATATATTTATAACTAAAATTGTTAATATTCTTTTAAATAGGCATTCATTAAAATATAAGGCTTACAAGCAGGGTATATGACTTTTGAGGGTGGAGGAGTCATATATGTACTTTTAGAATGTCTAAAAAGTATCTGTGGACCCTCAACCACAGAAAGCACAGATGCACACACATTTTATCTAGTTAGGAATTCATGATCCTTCTGACATTGTGTATAAACTTGCATTAAAGGAAAATGGCTTCATTCGGCAAGTTCTAGTTAATTTTATTTTGGTTGTGTCATTCTGAAAAAACTAAGTGGTGACTATGTAGAATAATCTATAAAATTAGGTGTATTTATTTTTAGGCAGCTATTAAAGGGTATGATTAAGATAATTCCACCTACTAGTACAGTTTTCCAGCTGACAAAAACAAGTCTTACTGGCATTAAGTAATAAAAATCTATCTTGCTATAATAAACTTAGAAATACTCTTAAAATTTAACAGCCTTTGTCAAATGTAGCTTATAAAATTCCCCTTTTGTTACTAGTCTATATGATCTATAAAAATGCAAATCAGTATTGTTCATTATATGTCATAATGTCATTATGTTTAAAGTATGTTCATTCCGAAGTTACACTTTGGAACTTTGGGTATGTTCTAAATGAAAGACATTTAGGGCCGGGCATTTAGCCTGCCTCCCAAGCACCAGGGCCTGAGTTTGACCCTTGGTACCAAAAAATAAAAATGAATGAATGAATGAATGAAAGACATTTGAAGTTAATTTATAATATCTTTAATATTTTAATCTTTTAGGAGTATATTTTGAAAAAGTCTTGAAAAGTTCAGACACTTCCCTTTGGGTGAGAAACATTCAAATGTATCTATCAGGAATCATTGTGACATTGGTTGGAGCCTACATGTCAGATGGAGTTAAAATTAAAGAAAAAGGATTTTTCTATGGTTACACATACTATGTCTGGTTTGTCATATGTAAGTATCTAGAGGCTCCAATAGACGCTTTTTATTTTTTTGAAGTCAGATATTTGCTTTAAGCTTTGTAGCATTTTGAAATTATTCCTTTGATACTGTCAATACCAGTTTGAAAATTTAGTTTTGGTTTTATTAACTTACTTTTGTGGCATAGCTATCCCAAAGCAATTTTGCTTTCACAATCAAAATTATCTAATCTGTTAGCAATAATATGCACAATTTAGTATAGGACCACACAGCCCTTTAGGCATCTGAGAAAGTGTTATGTAGGAACTATGCAATTTTAGTACAAATTCTCTCAGATGTCTAATTCTAGGAAAATAGCATTTTCCCTTTCCAAAGGAAATTAGTGTGCTTTCTCTCGCAATGAAGATACCCCTGTCGTGGAATGTTTCATTTGAGTATTAAGATCTTATTTTTTTTATATCCCAAGTTCTTGCAAGTGTGGGAGGTCTGTACACTTCTGTTGTGGTCAAGTACACAGACAACATCATGAAAGGTTTTTCTGCAGCAGCAGCCATTGTCCTTTCTACCATTGCTTCAGTGATACTGTTTGGATTACAGATAAGTATGTTTAAGTTTGTATTAAGTTTATATGGAAGAGCCTCTTACTTCCATTGTTCATTTAATCTCTTATTAAAACTGGCAGTTGGAGTCAGGTATGGTGGCACAGAGTTGTAATTCTAGCACTTGGGAGGTAGGATTACCACGAGTTCAAGGCCAGCCTGAACTATATAGTGAAACCTTGTCTCAAAAATCTGAAACCAAAAAACTGGCATTTGGCCAAATTGCCTATCAGAATTTCTACTTTCAGCTTATCTTGTAAGTATAGCAGTTCAGAGTTGTGTGAAACGTGTTAGAAGTATTTGGGTTGTTTAAATGGTTCTAGAGCTGAAGGTGAAGGGTACTTATTCTGTGTGAAAGCTAGGGGATACTGAAGTTACTAGAAAGAGTGTGTTTGTAGTCAAGATTTTCCTGTTTTTATTTTTTTGGTACTGGGGATCGAACTCTGGACCTTGCACTTGGCGAAGCAGGCACTGAGCTAAATCCCTGGCCCAAGATCTTCCTGTTTTTAGAAAACAGGATGACTTGAGTAAGTCAAGGTAAAACAATTGGCCCTTTGTCTGTAGATTATCCATCCGTGATTCAACCAGCCACAGATGACAAATATTTGGGAAAAAACTGTTTTTATACTGCCTATGTACAGACTTTGTTGCCATTATTTCCTTAACTATATAACAACTATATATCTAGCATTTTCGTTTTATTAGGTACACGTAATCTATGAATGATTTAAAGTATATGGGAGGACAGGTGTTAAATTCCATAAACTTGAGTATCCAGATTTTGGTATTTGAGGGGTGCTGCTGAAACCAGTCTCAGATACTCAGGGATAACTGTAGTATTATTGGGGACTCAAGGGAACAGATACAAGGACTTGAGAGAAATGATTAGAAATGATTTAGTAATTAAACTATGTAGGCTTATTTTGAGGAAAGCAGAAATCATATTTTACTTACTTGTTTTTCTGAGACAACATATTTCAGGCTGGCCTTGAACTCACTATGTAATGCAGACTGGCCTTGAACTCCTGGTGATCCTGCTGCCTCAGCCTCCCGAGTGCTGGGATTACAAGCATACACCACCATGCCCGGCTAACATGTTTTATGTTTTGTCATTTCCTTAGCTTTTATCTTTCTGTTTTGAACTCGGTTCATATAATTTTTTTATACAAGAGTTTCATTTAATATGTAACTATATAAAATTCATTATCATCGCTGGCATTCTGGCACCACTGCTGTACTAGTCTAATACATTTTCCCTAGCTCTCGTATCTACCATTAAGTTGGCTTTTTAATTACTTAAGCAGTTATGTTGACTTAGCCTTTCAGGGTGCTTTTATGATGTGTAATAATAATTTTCTTGATTGATCAATTATTGTACCATAAACTAATATATGAGTAAAAGTTGTCGAAGGTGTAGGTAAAGTAAAAGAAGTACACCTGGCCTATATTTGCATTTCATTTTAGAGCTGATTACGATTTGCAAATAGAGGAATACGCATGTTGCAGAAAGCTTAGAAAACCCGTTTTATGGCAGGGTACAAATCTGTCTGCAGCCTTGGGAAACTTACATAACCTGTGTCTCAGTTTTCTTCAACTGTACAATAAGAATAATGTTCCCCATCCTAGGGATGCTTTTTGAGTGATCTTAGAATAGTGCCTGGCACGTAGAAGGCTCTGTAAGGCCAGCCATTTACCATTGCAGTGTTATGAATCTCCAGACCTCCCCTTCTCGTAGATGTTCTTACCTGATTAGGGTAAAATTTTAATTGTAGTTCTGATCCATCCTTATATTCAACATCAATCTTTGTTTTTTCTCCTGGGAAAAATTTGTTTCTGGTTAATGTTTTGTCTTGGCAAAATCTTCCTGTTAACTAGTTAGATGGATGATATAAACAACTCTTCTCTTTGTTTTTTTGGTACTGGGACTCAAACTCAGGACCTTGCGCTTGCAAAGCAGGTAGCGGTACCCCTGAGCTAAATGCCCAGCCCATGACTCTACTTTTTAAAGACAAAGGTGGTCTTTTCTAGTAAAGAGTGAGGGAAAAATCAGTGTGACATTATTTTTCTGCATGCCATTTTAAAAGCTATGGAGACTGTGCAACTATACTTCACCCAAAATATTTCAATTTTTAATAAAATATACAGTTGTGATATAAGCTCTTTTTTTATATAATGCCTACATGTCAAGTTTGGAGAAGTTGCAATTCAATTTCTTGCATGCTCATTTTTCAGAATTAAGATCAAAGGGTAAGTCAGTCTATCAGGAAATATAATTTTATATAGTAAATCACCTTTTTATCTCTTGATTTCAATGATTTGAATAATCACCTGATTTCTGTTTAACTTTTTTTTCTAGTTTTACAAATTTCTGATATTATGGAAAAGCTATATTACATTCGTTTTCTTTTGTATTCACATGTATTTTATATTTACATACCTCCATTAAACTTGTGTAGTTTATAAGGAAGTTATATTGTCAGAGTGGTCCAAGATATTGTGTCTTCAAAAGTGTGACATGACTAATCAGTGACTTATCACTTCCTTGATTTTACTATTTTTTTGCTAGAATGGGTTCCCTTTCTAAAATTTACTATCATAAAAATGGAATATTTAGTTTTCTCATATAACTGATAATGTTATCCCACAGTTAAAATTTTTAAAAAATTTAAATTGATGATTGTTAAAGTTTTAAAGACATAAATACAGCCTATTTTTTTTTTTCCCCAGCACTCACCTTTGCTCTGGGTACCCTTCTTGTATGTGTTTCCATATATCTCTATGGATTACCTAGACAAGACACTACATCCATCCAACAAGGAGAAACAGCTTCAAAAGAGAGAATCATTGGTGTGTGATTTGAGCCTCAAAAGATTCCCACTGTGACTACACAGCTTGTATTAAACTAGAGCCTTAAGTCCATCCCAGAAGGTAGCTTAAATAGAACAACAAATTAACTGTATGGTCTACAAACCAAGAAAAAAGCTATTGGTGAATTGCTAATACAGAGACAATTGCAGACCTGTTGAGGGACAAGGCTATGTTGTTTTAGAATGAAGGAATTTATTATTGCGTGTATATAATGTATATAAGAAGTATGGCGATGATATGGTATTAAAAAATTACATGAAGCTATGAAATCAAGTGATAGGTATGGGACACTATTTAAAGGTTAAAGTGCCAAAGCCATTTCTGTACTATTCTGTTGTTCAGGTACCAGGGGAGGAGACCCCTCCTTGTTCTCTAGTTCATTCACATACAATATTTTGTCTCAGTAGCAGTAAAGACCTACTTCTTACAAAAAGACAAAAATAAGATGGGCTAGTTCAGAAACAAACAATGTGTAACTTTTCAGATGGAATCTGTTTTGTAACAATGATTTCTTGTGGTGACTGAGTACTCCTTTAGTGTTGTATTTGTGTCATTCATTGTCCCATTCATATTTCTTTGCTGTTAGATGTACTTGTCTTCAAAAAAATTTCTAAAATGTCACTTTTATACTTTTTTTAATAAAGTATAGTGGTTGGGTTCTCTGATTTGTGAAATTTCAGTGTTTTAAAATATATTTCTATAATGTTAATGGGGGAAATTTAGCAATAAACTTTATATGAATCCTCTTTAATTACTTTATTGTAGATAAATATGACTATTAATGCAAAAACATAAAAAAATAAAATGCTGATTTTTTTTCTGGATGTGGAACTGTATAAAGTAAGGTTTTAAGTAACAGCTATAACCCAAGTCTGACAAGTCTTAAGTTCCGTCCCTCAGAAGGAATTTATAGAAAGGATCACAGCAAGGGATATAGGGGTCTCGATGGAAGGAATTAATGAAGACTTTTTAGGGAGCTGCCTTGGTGCTCTCTGATAATGGCTCTAACCATTACATTCTTGTATCATCTACTTAAGATTTAATGCTCAGGAGATTACTATTGTATTTGGAAGGAGAAAGATTCCTAAAAGTGGAGAAGGATATTGGGTATGTTTATTTTTATTCAATGACTGGTTTGTGCTCAGGGAATTTTAATGCTACTTTCAGCAAAAAGTTAGCAATCTGGAAGCCAATTTACTTAAAATGGAGAACTGGATGAATCTTTTCCAGAAGTAGGAAGGTAAACCACATTTATCAATATAAAACAATGTTTATTTCAACCGAATAAGCTTTGGTTCATGCTAACTTGGTTTTCTTTTCTTAAAAATAGATGTTCACTGGTATTTTTTTTTATGGTGATAGGTATAGGTATCAAACCCTAGGCCTTGCATATGACAAGCAAGTTCTGTACTATTACACTCCTAACCCCTAGATGTTCTTTTTTTTTTTTTTTTTTTTAATACCAGGGATCGAACTTGGGTCCTTGCACTTCCCTACAAGAAGAATTCTATTAGCAACATTATAAGAAATTACAGCAGACCTGAATAGAAATGCTGGCAGAGGATGGCTGTGGTGATACAATGTATCATATCCTACTCATGTTACCTAATCTGATTTTATGTTATCAATTCAAGTCACAAAAAATATACTTTACCCACACAAACAGAAATTTTTAAACTCCAAGTTACTGTCTAGCTACATTTTATAAAAAGATCCTAACAATGTCTCTACAATAATTCCTTGCAATTAAAATGTATTCAGTCCCTGAGTTCATATAGTTAAGTTACCAGCATATATCATTTAAAAAGTAAGCATGAAGTAGGCTCTCTCTGGGAGAAGCTTTTAACCATATTGTCAAAAAAGATGTTTACCTTTGGTCTCTTTATCTGTTCAAAATTAGCCTTAATTTTTTAAAAAATTAGGATCCTTCCCTCATCATCAACTATTTGATGAAAACATCAGATCATCTCTGTTATAAAGATAGTTTCTGGGAGAATGACACAGTAAGAAAACTCCATTATACCATTATCTTTTGAATTTAAAAAGACAAGTTTACAAATATGTAATTAAGTACCTTTTGGCCATAAAACCCCACGACTTGTAATCAGAAATATTAAGCAATCTGGGTGTGATGGTTTGTACCTGTACTTTTAGCTACTCAGGAAGCTGAGGCAAAAGGATTTCTTGTGCCCACAAGTTTGAGGCCAGACTGAGTAACAAAGGTAACAACACAGTGAGACTGTTTCAATAAAATAAAACCCCCCCAAAAGATTAATAAGTCACTTTAAGTAAAATATTCTGTCACAAAATAATAACTTGTATTATTATCTGGACAGCAAAGCACCTATAAACAAATAATTTGAATTTACTTAGTATTTTAATAATCCCTTTTAATGAGAAATTACATCCTACATACAGGTGTTATTCCAAGCAGTTTCATTCCATTGGCTAAGACAGAACGGACAGCTTTGAAAAGATGAAGTCTGGCCTACAAAATAAAAGAATGATTAAATGTTGAGTAACATGCTAGTTTATGGAAATAAGAGTGGTTTTAGAATTCTTTTTTCTAATTTAAAGTAATAATACCTCAAATTGTCCTAGAGTTTACTACAGGCCAGGAAAAATATTCATCACTTTTTATAGTAAGACTAGTATAAAAGAGGTTGTAGAATGGGAAAGGAACAATTTATCATTATAATACCTGATACAGGAAGACAGGTTTCATAGTCTAGTATTTTGAGAAGAATACAAACATGTACTGTTACAGCCCAGGTCTAATTATTATCTGAATCAGTGTTGAGTAAAAGAATGTTATTTTAAGTAAATTTGTAAGATTAATAGGAATATTCTGTAATACTAGTTTTGAGCTGTTAGATAATACAGAGAAGACATCCAACATAACATACCCCAGCCACTTCAGGAGGACTATCTTTTATTTGGAGTGTTTTGTGTGCCACAGCTGCAAGATGACTGAAACAGGAAGGGAGAATAATGGTGGGGACCAGCAGTAATTTCCTGTTGTAACATATGAACTTGATACAAAACCCTACCTCCTCAACTTTAGATAAAAGTCTAGAACCACTAAAGGAAGTATACAAATTGTAAAGTTGAGATTGGAATTCACTGTCTTTTCTATAATAGACAAAATACACTGAACTTAAATGTTAGATTTTGGTCCTGGTTCTGTAACCAAGTGGCAGATTTTTTTTTTCCCTCATTGAGTTTATTGGTACATTTTAGGTGTACAGTACAGTTACATTCATCATTGGGATCTTGCACCTTTACATGACAGGTCTTGGTTCTCATTTTTTCCCCTTGTCCCTGCCCTCCCTTCACCCCTCCTCCCCTCCCCCTTTACAAACATTTCATTTCCATTTTTTCATTTTCTCATATTTTTTCTTTTCCCTTATTAGCCTTCCCACTTTCCCTACACCTTTAGCCCCTTCCTATTTCACATGGTCAGTTATATCATTAGGATCTTATGTACTATTACAGTTTATTCACACCAGAGAAACTATTCGGTATTTACACGTGTGACTTATTTCTTTCACTTAGGAGTATATCCTCAATATGTGTCCATTTTCCTATGAATGAATCTAGTTTATGATTCTTTATGGCTGAGTAATATTCCATTTTATAGAAAAACCACATCTTTATGATTTCACTGTTAGCTTTACAAGTACAGAGTATTCCTCTTATAATTAGTTTCTCCTTATTTAGATGGCATTTAAAAGTATAGCATGGAGAGTAGATAGGCTGCGGACTAGTTATCAATTCACTTGGCATACACACAGCACTCTTTAAAGTACCTTCTTCGTTTGGGTATGGCAGCAAGTAGAACATGATGAGTGAAGTAGGACACTCATTTAATGATTAGATGGCATTTCTTAAGATTTGCTGGTACTTGGATTTCTCTATGACTAAGCAGAACTTGAAGAAAAAACTCATTTATATCTGAGAGATAAGGTAAAAAGTATAACAAGCCAGGCCTGGTGACACATGCCTGTAGTGCCAGCACCCAGGATTGTTAAGTTTGAGCCTAGCCTGAGCAAGTTAGTGGCTTAGCAAGACTCCATTTCAAAAATAAAAAGAGCTGGGGATGTAGCTCAGTGTGAAGGTCCTGGTTTCAGAACCCAAAGGCCCCCTGCCAAAGTCTGTTTGAATAAAAGCAACACTTTCTGTTAAAGAGCTTTATGGGAATAAAGCTGTTTCTACATAAGAGTAGAGTCAACTATTAAAACTATAAAATTTCTGTCACCAACTCACTTCCCTATTCACTCTCTACCCTTTGCTGGCTGACTGTTCTGTTTTTGCTAAGAACTCTTATGGACTCCACTGCCCTGAAAAGTAGTCTAAATTGCAAAAAGGCCTACATATGAGTCCTTTTTCATCCCTCCCAGGGCTATACTGCCTCTTTAGCAGCTGCTTGCTTCTGAGTATTATGTGTTTTCTGAGCAGCTCTGTCTAGTTCTGTAAGGCCACACTGGTCTGCTGTCATCTCTTATGTTCACTCTGTCATAGTTCATGTGCACTGTGCTTGACTTCTATATCATTGTTGGTTCCTAGTCACTTGATTATAGTGCCTACCTCAGTGGTTCTGCCACCTGCCTTGCAAGTGCAAAGGCCCAAGTTCGATCCCCAGTACCAAAAAAATAAACAACAACAAAAAAAGGAATGATTATAGTGACTACCTTACATCACTGAGTTAATAAAAATTACTAATTAGCAAAGATGAAGCAATCCCATTTATATGTATGTGTGTGTGTATATACGTATATATGTATGTAATTGTGTGTGTGTGTGTGTGTGTGTGTGTATGTAATTTGTGTGTATATATATATATATATATAAATGGTACTGGGGCTCTAACTCGGGACCTTGTGCTTGAGAGGCATGCAGCAACACCACTGAGCTAAATCCCCAGTCCGAGAATCCCTATAATTTAAAGCACATTAATTTTTAGGACATGGTATTTGTTTATGGTAAAACTCTGAATTAAAAAAAAAAAAGTTTCTTGTTGGCTTTGGTATCAAATTAATACCTGAAAATAGGAAAATTATAATAAAAGTACCTTAGAGTTAGCAGGTAACTAACAATGTGCCTGGGTTGAAGGTCCTGAGATGATCTATAAAGTACCTCATCAAACCTAAAAGAAAGATTACAAGCAGCTGGCAGGGAGATATTCACATGTTACCATAAGCTAAGATGTTACACCTTGGATGTGAGACTGACATCATGAAGAGTAGAAACCATATGAAAAAGGACCTGTGTATATCTGAAAGCAAATAATACAGTTTTCTTTCTCACAAATTCCTTGATGGCAGGAACTTTCTAAATCATCTTGATATCCCATAACCTAGTCTAGAGTAAAGACTTATATCATGGCTGTTAAAAACGAAGCCTGTAGCCATGTTGAGAGACAACCTATAAACCAGCAAAGTACCTTCAAGGCTAAGAAAATTAGCCTGCTTTATTTTCCCTTTCTAATTAGCTATCTGTGAGTAAATGTTCCTGATGCCTAGAAAGAACCACTGACTACTGTGTGGCAATCAGAGAAAACTGCCTTGTTTATAACCAACCGCATCCCTTCTGGACACTAATCTCTACTGATAAGGCTTCATCAGCAACACTTAGGTGAACAAAAGCTGTGGTCTCTTGCCCAGTATGAATGCATCACACAGAAAGATGTACAGTATTTGAGACCATGATCTGAAATTAGGAGCCAAGTGAGGGACTATGGGAAACTGCTCAAAGGCAGAGATTTTCCTTCACTTATCACAGGTGAGAAGATGCTCTGTTCCCACCAAGTTATGCCTTTACCAGGCTTTATTTTCCCAGACAATGGGTGCTAGAGTATGCTAGATGCCTGCATAATTCAATGGTGACAGTATTTTAAGATTAAAAGACTGACCAACTTTGCGTATTGGCTCAATATGTGCATTTCCATCTGCCCCCAAAAGGCAGACACTTTTGGGCATATCTTTAGGAAAGATCTAGATTCTACAGGAAGGAGGTAGCCACTGGCCTACTAACTCATAGTCAGCAAAGCTAACCAACAGTTAAATCAGTAAACAGAAGCAGACTTGGTAGTACCAGAAAAACTCCATACCTGAGAAGATGCTGGAGAACTGAAACAGACTGTGGTTCTTGTAAGCAAGCAGGGTTGAAGTCATTCATATAACTGCAACCAAAAGTCTCTTCCAAACTATCAAAAGTAAAAAGTATAAAGTAGTAGCAAAAGTATAAAGTTAAAAACCCAAGTCATGCATAGGCACATAACTGCAGGTGAAGAACATTACTTCATAATATACAGTCTTTGTCTCCTTAATATAAACCTAGACTTTAAGGCCAACTGTTGCACCTGAGCCCTCAATTTTTCCTAAATTTTTTTTCTTTATAAAATATAATTACCAGGATTAGCAGGGTTATTCTGAGGCTTAAACAAGGTAATACATAAAAGCATTTCTTACACAGGTAGATAGATATTTTTAAACCACAACAGTAGGAAGTTTGTGCTTTTACAAGTTTTGAATAGGAGATGCTGAAGAATCCCAGAAAACAGGGCTTGCCATTTGTCTCAGAATTGCACCTCCTATATTCCCATCTACAGAAGGATAGCAGAAGGATAGTGCTTCTCTACAGCCTATTCTCACCTGTGGAGGCGGGCATGTGTGTACTGCAGGAAGACTCCTGTGTCCCCATGACTCTGGAAAACACGATCCCAGCTGAACTGATAGTCAGATAAGAGCAAACCTCTGAAGTCCTAAAATAACAGAGTAAATCTTCAGTCCTGCGATTCATTATTCTACCGGACAAAAAATTTTCCTAAGAAGGAGTCTTAAAAGACCTGAATAATAAGTGCTGCGAGCCCAACTCTCTCTGCAGTCTCCTGTGGGTTCTCAAGTTGTTTACTTGCTGAAACAGATAAAAGCAGCTATATTTTAAATGCATAACGCCATGTCCAATCATGGATCAAAGTGAAGACAAAAATCTGCCAAAACAAGTTCAAAGTTGGCACTTTACTTCACTAATTTAGGTTAACTTATATGATAAAATGCATTTACCTTGCTTACATTAAAGGGAAGAAATATAAATACATTTTTCTTACAAGTATTCCTTGTTAAGACATTAGCTATAGCGGCTACCTATTTTTTCAAGGATGAAGGTTAAACAAAGATATGAATTTGAAACATATCCAATTTATAATACAGAACGTTCACATGAGGACTCAGATTACAGGAGAATAATAACAAAGCTGTCTACCAAAAGAACACCAAGGTTATATGAATTCAGATTAATAAAATGAATAACTGTGCAGTACATCTAAAAACTCGGGCACCTAAAATTAGTGATAGTTACTTTTGACACAGTCTGTGACAGTTCAGTAGAGGGACAGTAATAATAAATCAACACTGCCCAAATGTCGAACCCCCCCCCAAAGCATGACATTAATAACAAAAAAAGTAGATTTACTCTTAATGGAAGCCATGTTCTGTAGCATCTTTAGTCGAATCTCATTTAAGACATCTTCTAGAAAAGTGACTTCTCCTCTGCGGGTCTTCATTCCCTGCACTATTCCAAAGGGCACATGCTGGCACCTGCAAAAGAGCATTTTGTCAACCTAAAGCTACAAAAAAGCTAGAGATCTGAGTACGTCATATTATTCTTTCAGAGTAGTTTAAACTTTAACCCTAGCAGGTTTAAAAAATGAAAAAAATGAGACCTCCAGCACCCTGGGCCTTCATCAGAGCAGACCAGTGAGGACTGTCCAGCTGTGCAGGCACCTCTGCAGCATACCACCCCAACGCACTCTCAGGCCTTCTGGTTGTGCTGGTGTACCTGGATCCACACTGCAGAGGCACAGGTGGTCATAAAGGCCATTTTACTGAGCTCCAGAAGATAGAATGGAAGTGAACAACTGCAATAAAGGCACACCAGACCTCCGCAGTTGATAAGTTGGAGGGATGAACACCTTCTATCAGAACTTGACTATCTTCATGGAAGGCCAACGGGAAGCTGCATTAGAACTTTGCAGAGTTCAACCCTGCAGGAGGTCAGGGAGCTCAACTTGGGCCTTGCAAGCCAGAATTCAGCCTGAATCTCAGGGGTTTGCGAGTGGCTAGCTGAGAGTAACTGACTTAGTTTTGCAGAATGCTGACCACATTATCTACTGTGACAGCACAGATACAAAATGAAAGAGGCTCTTCAAAATTTTTTCTTTCTTTTCCTCCTATTATTAAAATTTTATGTTTTCCCATTATGCAAATTCTTCCATTCATCTTTTTCCCAGTCTCTTGCTTCCTGACATCTTCATCTCTCTCTCTCTTTTTTTTTTTGGTTCCTGTTCCTGCCCTAATTCAGATTTCTTCTTTTTCCTTTGCTCAATTGTCAATAGTTTCAAAGGAAAGTGAGTACAATTTATAGCTTCCCTATTACTGTTAAGTTGTTCTAGTCTTGCCTTTGTTCTTGCACTCTTGTCTTTCCCTCTTCAATAGTTTCCTAGAGTTCGAGTGATCATCCTGTGTCCTTTGGCTTCACTTGAAACTTTCTCCTATTCTTTTACCTATCTGTTCCTCTTCTCCCAACTCCTTCTAAGTCCCCATCCTGAAGGGTAAAGTTGCTAATATTGAAGAGTTTATTCACCATAAACATATTTTGGGCTGGTCTTCAATTTTAATTCACATGGTTAAAGGTGATAGATCAATATAATAACTACAACCGATGATCAATTTCTGTGCTTGAAGCTATTGTGTTACTCATTGTACCAACTGGGCAAAAGGGTTTTGAATGATTTAATGAGCTGTCCTTTCTGATATGAAAATGAGTCTCAGAGTCATTAGAGACTCAAAACCTAAAAAGCAGGTAAAACAGGAAGAGCAAAGTTCTAACCCAGAAAATAAACCAAGAACAGCCCAACAAAAATAAAAACGAGAAGACACTTAAACAAGGCACAAATACAAACTTCCAGTTAACCAAAGGCAAATTCTAGGGGGAAAGAGGTGGAAAAGTCTGACAATCAACCACCAGGACACCCTGAACTCATAGCACAGGAAGTAACAGATCAGTCAGGCTCTAGAAAAATTCAAAACAGAAGTAATTTCTGAAATAACCGCAGAAATGGTGAGCACAATGATTAGACAAAGGACTATTATCTAAAATATATAAAGAACTCAAAACAATCATCCCCCCCAAATATAAAGACCCAATTCTAAAATGGGCATCTGAAATGAACAGACATTTCTCAGACAAACAAGTAAAAGCATCAAGTAAATATACAAAAAAAATTCGATATCACTGGTCATTCAAGAGATGCAGATGAAAACAACACTGAGATTCCACCTCACCCCAGAAAGAATGGGTATCAGGAAATCAAGCAATAACAAATGTTAGCGTGTTGTGGGGAGAAAGGAACCCTTCTCCATTGTTGGTGGGAGTGCAGACTGGTGCAACCACTATGGAAATCAATATGGAGATACCTCAAAGAACTAGGATTAGAGGTTCCATTTGATCCAGCAATCCCTCTACCAGGTATCTTTCCAAAGAATTATATCACTGTGATACATGTGTACTCATGTTTATAGCAGCACAGTTTGTAATAGCTAAAACTTGGAAAAAGCCCATTTGCCCATCAGTTGGAGACTGGATAAAGAAGATGTGGTTTTTCTATAAAATGGAATAGTACTCAGCCACAAATAATGAGAAATTAGAGTCATTCATAGGAAAATGGATACATATTGAGGATATACTAAGTGAAATAAATTTCACACATGTATAAATACCGAATAGTTTCTCTAGTGTGAAAAAGTATAATGCTAAGTAAGATCCTACGGATATAACTGACAATGTGAAATAGGACGAAAAGGGCTAAAGGTATAGAGGGAGTACGAAGGGTAGGGGAAAGGTAATAAGGGTAAAGAAATATAAACATAAGAAAATGAAAAAAAGGAAATAAAGTATTTATAAATAGGGAAGAAAGGAGGGGGTAAAGGGAGGGCAGGGGTAAGGGGGGAAAAATGAGAACCAAGACCTGTTATGTAAAGGTACAAGATCCCAATGTTGAATGTTCCTGTATTGTATACCTAAAATGTACCAATAAACTCAATGAGGAGAAAAAAAAAAGAATGAGAAATTAGAGTCATTCATAAGAAAATGGATGCATATTGAGAATATACTGTTAAGTGAAATAAATAAGTCATGCATGTGTAATACTGAATAGTTTCCCTGGTGTGAATAAACTATAATAGTACATAAGATCCTAATGGTATAATTGACAATGTGAAATAGGAAGAAAAGGGCTAAAGGTGTAGGGGAAGTGGGAAGCTAGGGGAAAGGAAATAATGGAAAAGAAAATCTGAGAAAACGAAAACATGGAAATAAAGTTTTTGTAAATAGGGAAGGGAGGAGGGGGTGAAGGGAGGGCAGGGGCAAGGGAAAAAAATGAGAACCAAGACCTGTCATGTAAAGGTACAAGATCCCAATTATGAATATAACTGTACTATATACCTGAAATGTACCAATAAATTCAATGAGAGAAAAAAAATGGCCAAAACTGAAAACCTTCACAGTAAAATCAGGAACAAGACAAGGATGCCCACTATCACCACTCCTGTTCAATATATTTCTGGAAATATTAGCCACAGCAATTAGAAATGAGAAAGAAACAAAAGCAATAAAGACAGAAAAGAAAGAAGTTAAACTGTCATTACCTGCTGACAATCTGACACTCTACACAGAATATCCAAAAATTCTGCCAAAATAATCCTAGACTTAATTGACACTTTCAGCTTAGTAGCTGGATTACAGGGTCAACATTCAAAAATCAGTAGCCTTCTTGTACACAAATAACAGACTCACTGAGAGAGAAATTAGAGAAATAATGCCTTTCAGAACAGCATCCAAAAAAATGAAGCATCTAGGAATCAGTCTAACCAGGGAAGCAAAAGACCTCTACACTGAAACTATAGTACTCTGAAAAAAAGAGATCAAAGAGGATATAAGAAAATGGAACGATATCCCCTGCTCCTGGGTAGGAAGAATCAACATAGTGAAAATGGCCATACTACTAAAACTGCTATACAGATTCCATGTAAACCCGACTGAAATTCCAACACTATATTTCACAGAACTAGTGAAAATAATCCAAAAATTCATTTGGAACTCCTAGAATAACTAAAGCAATTCTAGACAACAGAGACATGGTAGGAGGTATCACAATCCCCATCTTGAAACTAAACTACAAAGCCACTGTGATAAAAACAGCATGGTACTGGCAAAGAAAAAGACCTGAGGATCAGTGGGATAGGAAGATACAGAAACAACTTCAGATGTACCCAACCATCCTCAGTGGAGGAAAGTCTCTTTAATAAATTATGTTGGAAAAAGTGCATTTCAATCTGCAAAAGATTAAAACTAGAACCTTATCTTTCACCATGCACTGAACTAAAATCCAAGTGGATTAAAGATCTAAATATTAAAACAGAAACACTAAACTTGCTGGAAGATAAGTTAGGCAGAACTCTTGAAGACATTGGCATAGGAAAAGACTTTATGAACAAATTCTCAGTAGAACGGGAACTAGCACAAAGAATCAACAACTGGGATCCCTTCTTATTAAAAAGCTTCTGTACTGCAAAAGAAACCACTAAGAAAACTGAAAGACAACCTACAATGTGGGAAAAAACTTTTACCAGCTGCTCCTCAGACAAAGTACTATTATCTGGAATATATAAAGAACTCAAGGCCATCGCTCAAGCGCCGGGAGGCAGCCTGGGCCCCGATCCACCGCGGGAAGGAGAACCATGCCTGCTCCCGACCCAGCAGCCATCACTCAAGCGCCGGGAAGGTAGCCGCGTGGGCACCCCTGAACCCCCATAAGCCCCCCCTCCTGACTGTACCAGTCTTTGGACCCACTCTGCAAAGAAAGAGGTGGTCATCAAGGGTATTTTTCTGAGTTCCCAACTTTGAACATCTTTAAAGAAAGGGCGTGGGAAACCTGTAATAGAACGTTGCAGAGTTCAACCATTCAGAAGGTTGAGGAACTCAATCTGGGCCTTGCAGCCGGAGGTCAGCATCATGGGGTTCAGCCATCAGCTAACTGAGATCAGGGGTCTTGCATCCTCGCTCTGTCTGAGCCATTAAATGGTAAATACACTATATTGAAATTTTGTTCACTGCAGACATGTTCTGGACTGCTTCTTGATTTCAATTTAATTCAAATGATTTAAGGGTGATAGACTAGTGACTACCACAGGTGGTCAGTGTCCAAGTTGTGCTTGATCTTAATGTGTTGCTGATTGTATCAGTTGGGGTAAAGCATTGCCGTTGATTTGATGAGCTGTTTTCTCTGATGTTATGAAGATGAGAATGTCTGTGGGTCATTAAGGACACAGAAGCTAGAGCGCAACTATATCAGGAAGATTTGGGTGATAATCCAGAGATTAAACCAAGGACAGTCCGACAACAAAAATTAAAATGAGAAAACACTTAAGCAAGACACAAGGACAGACTTCCAGTTTACCAATGGCAAGCAGTAGGGCAAATGAGGATGAAAAGGCCGATAGTGAACCACCAGGACACCCTGAACTCAAAGCACAGGAAGTAACAAAACAGATCAATCAGGCTCTGGAAAAATTCAAAACAGAAATAATTTCCCAGATAACCACAGAGATAGTGAGCAATATGGAAGACGTGATTCGAGACTCTAGAGCAGAAACTGATAAAAAAATAGATGAGCTCAGGACCATGATAGAAGCCATGAAGGCCCAGCATAAGAAAGAAATGGAAAAAATAAACGCTCAACATAGGAAAGAAATGGAATCCATAAAACAG